CAATGATATTCTATGTTTATTCATTTTAATTCATCTCAATTAATTTTTATTTTTGTTTTATTAACAATAAATATTATTGATACTCTATTTTCTCTTCTTTATAATGATTTCTTATTTATTATTCTGTTTTATTTTACTTCTATCATTTGATTTATTTGAATATTTATTTCCTTTCTTCTTATTATCTCATCAAAATGTTCTTGTTTCATTTTCTTCTTGAATGTTGTACAATTTGTTAATCATCTTTATTAACTCATTGTATTATTCTTGTTGTTTCTAATTAATCTGGATATTCACATGTTTTTTGTTATAGTTGATTACATGAAATTCTGATTGATTCATTAAACATTTATTATTTTCATATTTCTAATGTTTCTTAAGATAATTCTGTATGTTCTATTATGAACAATCAATATCATATAATATTGAAATATAACTAAAATTAATATACAATTTCTTCATTTGTATTTTTGTTTCTTTGTTTTTGTTGAATTGGAAAATACAATCAAATTAGATAACATGAGGATGTGAATGTGAGTTTTTAATAGATTATTTCTCATTTACTCATTCACCAATATAATTTCTTTCAATATCAAAACTTTCTTATTATTTATTTTGTTTCTTTAAAATAATAACTTCATTATTTCAATTTATATATTTTTTCACATTGAATTTAAAATATCTATGTTGTTTTAACATTACATGTTGTTATTGATTTTTGTCAATATTTTATTTCATCATCAAATTGTTAAAGAGACATTTATTATTAAAATATTTGAATTATATAGATTATAATAAAATATAATCAAATATAATATGTTTATAGTACAACCATCATTCACATTTCATTCATATTTATGTATACAATTATGAAAATGAGTTATAATTTAGAATATGATGATTGTTTCAATTTATTTAGAATGAAATAAAATGAATGATAGAAATTAAATTGATGAAGTGAATATAACATAAAATAGTAAAATAAAGAGATATATAATATAAATTAGAAAGATGATATGAAAATACATCAAATCAAATAATATATAACATATTAGAATATGTTTGATTAAATATTAAACATTAATAAAAGAAAACAATATAAATTTATTAATAAATGAATGATAAATTAAATTACTATAAAATGAATGAAATAATATAAAACGGCTATGAAAAAAAGGAAATAAGAGAAAAATGAAGAGAAATGATGAAAAGAATGATATAAAAGAAAAAGTAATAAGTAGAAGAAGATGAAAAGAATAAAAGTAGAATGTTGAGATTATAAAATGAAAGAAGATAAAAAAGAATAATTCAAAAAGAGATAATAAATGATAAAAAGAATAATGAAATAAAAGATGCATTTTTTATTATAGAAATTAGAAATATGCAATAAAAAGTGTTTAATTTATTGATACAAAATATTTAACATTATTTTATTGATATAATTTATTTTATTCATTTTTATTTTATGGTTTTTATTTATGTGTATTATTTATTCACTTATTTTGATTCCAATCTATAAATCTGTGAATGGTTGAATAAATTTTTGAGAATATATCAATAAATTTATCATTTATTATTAATAAATGTGTGTTTAATCAAATTAATTTGAAAGATGATCAAAATGAAATTAAAGACATAATGAATGTTATTATTAATCATTATAATGATTATATTAACAATGATGTTATGAATGAAATACTTATTTTATCATCAAAATTATTATATTCACAAAATATTGAATCAATAATATTGTTTTGAATAAATTAAATGGTTTGTTAAGAAGAATTATAGAAAGGATGATGAATGTTTGTAAATCAATAAATTGGTATGAACAAGTAAAATTAAGAATTATACAAAAAGAAATGTTTGCATCAGAATTGATGGTTCCAAAAGAAATAGAATATGAAAAAAGAATTGATATATTTAAGAATTATATTCACATTGATATTAAAATTCATGATTCAATTGTTAAAAATGATGTTATTACTACTCTTAGGAAATTAATATTAATTTTATTTCTTCCTATTCATACAAAATCTACAAAAATAAATAAAAATAATATAAAAATTGTATTCTATTGTAATCATTCAGGAAAAACAAAAGAAACATGTAAAGGAAGAGATTGTGAATATAAATTAATTGTAACATTAGGGTTTGATAAAGTAAATAGTGTATTAGAAATTAATGAACATAAACATCAATTAGATTATTTCTTTGTTGTATCAAAAACTTGTCCTTTGTTAAAATCTGAGAAACTTTTAATTCCAAAAACTAATAATGAAATAATAAAATTTCTTGTAAATCATCCTCATATTCAAATTCCTCTTAGAAAATTTAGACAAATTCAGAGAGAAGAAGATAGAAATCAAATATTTGAAAATATATTTCTTTCAGAATCATTTTTTGAAAATGATTCATTTATTAAATTAACAAATACTTTCACTAATGGTTTATTCATTCGATATTGTTCATTCATAAGAAAGTGGCTCAAATGGAATATAGTAAAAGAAAATGGTATGTTGATGATACTGCTAAAACAAATATATATAATAAAAATTTATATGTTGTTATTGTAAAAGATGATAATTCTTTTAACCAACTTCTTTCATTTGGATATTTATTTGATCAATCTGAAATTTCATATAAACTATTTTTTCATCAACTTTATAATATTTTAAATTATGGACCTGAAATCATTGTTTGTGATCGTTGTATTGCTCAATATAATGCTTTGAAACAAATATTTCCTTATTCTAAACTATTTTTGTGTAGAATTCATATAGAAAGATCATTGATAAAATATTTTAAGAGTGATCATATAATAATGAAATTATTTCATTTAACAATGAATATGAAATTAAATGAAAATGATTTAATTGAAACATGGAAAAGTATTATAATGAAAAATATTAAAAATATTGAAGAAGACAATGATGATGAAAATACTTATTATGATGATAAAGAAAATAATGAAGAAGAAAATGATGATGATCAGTTGTTTGAACATGATACAAGTGATATTATAAAATCAATAGATGGTACTAATACATTACAAGATAATATTAAACAATTAATAGAAGAATTAAATTGAATAAATATTAATATATGATTGATTTGTTTAATTGATTTAATTCAACACTTCTGAATGTATCAAATATAGAATGTATCGAGATTTTACAACAAATAGAGTAGAAGGATTCTTTGGTTATTTAAAAAAAATAATTAATCATAGTAATCTTCATTTATATTTATTAACAGACAATATTTATGCAATTGGAAATACAATGTTTAATAATATAATTAGTATTGATCTTCCTGATGAAATTATAGATAAAAATGATTCTCATTTTAAATTATTGACTGAATTTTCAAAGAAAATCTTAAAATCACAATATAAATTATTGAATAATAAAGTATTATGTGATGAGATTCAATATTGTATTAGTTGTCAAATAAGAAGTGTTAATCATAAAGTAGCATGGAATTGTTATCATTTGATGAAAGAAAGAAAAAATATGTCATTAAAATATCTTATTAATTATGATGAACTTCCATCATTTGCTTTTAAATCAAAACAAACTAGAATAAATTGGACTGATAAATCTATTTCTAATATTGAATTACCAAAGAGTTATAGTTTGATAGGAAATGTAGTTGTAAATAAAATGAAACATAATACAAATGTACATCCAAGAAACAAAGTTGAATTTAGGAAAAGAAAATCAAAAGAAGTATTTTTTAATGAAATTGCACCATTTCAAATGAAGAAGTATGTAATTAGTGAAAGAAGTAAAAATGATGAAGATAAAATAATTAATGATGATAATGAAATTATTGAAGAAGATAATGTTGAAGAAAGAATGTCATCAATTCATTCACATAATTCTATCACTAAAATATCTCAAAATGAAACATATATTAATGAAATACATGAATATGATAGTATATTAAAGAAGAAGAATTTGAAAAGATAATGAGAACATTTAATGTTCCACAAAAATGTATGTTATGTGGAATATCAAAGAATAATAATATATATCAATTACAATATAATATTAAAGAAATAGAAACAATCATATTCCCATTTTCATCAAAAAATAAATATGGATTAATAGCATATGTTAATAAAATTAATATAATAAGAAAAGAATGTGTAGTACATATTAAATATGGAAATGTTAAATATCCAGTGTTTATGAGAAGAATGAATAAACAATTAATGAAAGTATTAGAATTAACAAATGATCAAATAATTTATTCTATAAAAATTGATGAATGTATTGGATAATTAAAACATAATGGTTATATAACACTTTTCTTAATAGAATCTTTCTTAATGAAAAGAAAAGAAGATGATATAACAAGATAATCAAAGAATCTGAGAGAATATATTTCAATAGAAAAAATGATAAAATCATTCAAATGTTATAAAAAATTAATCTTAATTAATTTTAATAACAACAAATATCTTTTTTAAAAGTAAAATAATATGAATAAATAAAAGTACAATATGTTATAGAAGTAAAATAATTTAATGTAAATTAATTTGTTCTAATTTTTAAACTGATATTTTTAGTATGAAAATATCAATCAAATTATTTAAATTATCAAATATGCTTTCAATATAAAATTTATTCAGAATGTATATGTTAAAATTTATTATATTTTTTAAACTAACATAAATCTAAATCCATTATTTGTCATATCATATTTTATACTAATAAAAATCTATCAAGTATTCTCTTTTCAAATTATTCTATCTTCGAACAACTGAAGTGAATGTTCATTAGATTTTTCAATAATTCTTGTAAATATGAAGAAATATTAAAAAATTATTTATATTGTATAAAATTTTTTGAACAAAAATAATCAAAAAACAATTATGGCAAATTATTTTCTAATTTGAATAATTTACCATAATTGTTTTTGATTGTATATAGAAATGTTCTATTACCATTTCTATTGTTCTTTCATCAAAAATATGATTCTTCAATTGTTTGTCATTCCTTTAATTTTTCATTAATATTGATAATTTAAATAATAATAATCAAATCAAAACAAATAAAAAGTAGATAATTAAATGTTAATAATTTTATATTGTTCATTATTCAATGTAGATTAATTGTTTTAACATTGTATTTTCATCATTTATTAGTTTATTCTTTAATTTTAGTTGTTGAATTATGATAATTTCATTTTATCTTTTATTTAATGTACAATAAAGTATTTTAAACATCAATTATTTGAATATTTATTATTTAATTTCTTTTTGATTTTAATGAATTTAAATTTCTTCTTCTTTATTTTCTTATTTTAAGGAGAATATATAATTACTACTGTATTACTATGAGTTATATTCTTTTTAGAATCAACCACTAAACCCTTTTTCTTTGATAATCTTATATTATCAAATAATACTTGTATCATATAAGTAATAATAACATCTTTATAAATACACATTCTTTTATTATCAATGATATCACATCATTGTAAATAATAAACACTGTTATTCTTACAATATTGATTATGATATTTTTCTAACCAAACGCAACGTCATAACCAGTCCATAACTGGGGGAATCGAATGATGATAATAATTTAGGGAAATGTGTGTTGTCTCTGACGTGCTACCTTCGAATCAATAATGAATAAAATATAAAATAAAATGAAATATTTAATAATTATAATTTATTAAAAATAAAAATAAATAACATTTTATTTTATTTCTTATTATTTAATGTTTTTCATAATAAACATCAATTAATAAAAATAGAATGATGATAAAGAATAAAAAAGAAGAAATTAAAATATAAAAATAAAAGAACTAATAAAAACAACTAATAAATAATAAATCAAGAATGAAATTAGGATATAATGAAATAATGATAACATCAATGTATTTTAATGATATTAATGATTTTATTAATTTAGAAATGGGAGTTAAAAGATATAGAGGAAATATTGAACGATTTCATTTTAATCCAATTCCATTAAATGAATATTCAAGAAAATTATTTACTAATATTGAAACATTTCATGTTTATAATTATAATGATGAAATATTTAATGATGGAAAAATATTTAAATATATAATATGGTATAAAGTAAGTTATTCAACACATTTAAAAGAAAAAGAACAAGGAAATATCTGTAAAAATATAATATATACAAAAGAAGATAGAAAATCATATGGAAATACAATACCATCAGAAATTAAATCGCTTGGATATAAATGTTTTAATAATTGTGATTCATTAACATCAATTGATATACCATCATCAGTTAGTGAAATAGGATGTGATTGTTTTTATGAATGTTCATCATTAACATCAATTAATATAGATAATCTACAATTTATTAGTGAAAAAAGAATATTTATGAATGAACCAGTGTTAGTTAGTATTAAAATACCAGATAATCTACAAATAATCAATGGAAAGAATATTTTCAAGAAAGATATTAATGAATTTATTATTCCATCTTCAATTACTAAATTAGGATATGATTGTTTTAATGGATGTAAATCATTAAAATCAATTAATATACCATCATCAATTATTAAATTAGGAAGTGATTCTTTTTACGAATGTTCATCATTAACATCAATTAATATACCATCATCAATTATTAAATTAGGAGATAGATGTTTTTGTGAATGTTCATCATTAACATCAATTAATATCCCATCATCTGTGAGTGAAATAGGAAATTGGTGTTTTGAAGGATGTAGATCATTAACATCAATTAATATACCATCATCAATTACATCATTTGGAGATGGATGTTTTTATAAATGTGGATGTGAAGAAGAATTAATGAAAAATGAAACAATACCAAGAGATTGTTTTGATGAATGGTGATGAATGAAATAAAAATATAGTAAATGAAATACAATATAAATTGAAGTAGAAACAAATTATAATTGATTATCATTATATTATTATTATTCTTTTCTTATTTATTCTTTTTGATATTATTCTTTTTTATTGTGTTAAAATATTTATTGTTATTTATTGTATATGTTTATTATTTCTTATATCTTCTATTTTATCATATTTATTTATTATCTTTTATATCTTTATTATA